AAGAAAGAAAATGTATGCAAAAACCACGTTTGGGGGTGATTCTTTAAGATAGCCACTACAAGAGAACAAGGTTTTAACGACCTTTATATATATATATATATTTAGCGGCATTTATAAACGTTGCTAAATGATTAGTGGTGTTTGCTAAAAATGCTGTTAAGAACGTCGTCTATACCTGCATTGAGAAAAATAATGGCATTTTAGGAAAAAATGCTGCTAACTTAATGACATTTGTACTAACAAATATCGTTAAATTTAGTGGTATTTTTGGATACAAATGCCATTAATTTATGTAATTTAGAGACTTTTTTTACACAAATGCTGCTAAATTTAGCGGTGTTTTTAAATACAAATGCCACGATTTCTAAATTTAGTGATGTTTTTTCATACAAATGCCATTAAATGCTGTTAAGAACTCACCTATACTTGTAATTAAGAAAAATAATGACATTTTAGGAAAAAATGTTGCTAACTTAACAGTGTTTGTGTTGACAAATATCGCTAAATTTAGTGGTATTTTGGATACAAATGCCATTAATTTATGTAATTTAAAGACATTTTTTACACAAATGCAGCTAAATTTAGCGGTGTTTTTAAACACAAATGCCACTATTTTTAAATTTAGTGATGTTTTTTCATACAAATGCCGCTAAATTAGGAAATTTTCTTTTTTTTAATTTCTTTCAATATTTATTAGTATAATTAAATAAAAAAAGTTTTGAAATAAATAAAAATGAATTGAAATTCATAAATTGAATACTCAAGGCATTTTTTGCTAAAAACGCCTTGAATAATCTCATTCAATTTTTCGTAAAGGATTATTTAAGGCATTTTCTAGCCAAAAATGCCTTGAATAATCCAAAACAAAAATTGAAAGGGATTATTGAAGTCATTTTTGGCCAAAAATACCTTGAATAACCCCATTTAATTTTTTGTAAAGGATTATTCAAGGGGTTTTCTAACCAAAAAGGCTTATTCAAGACATTTTTTAGCAAAAAATGTCTTGAATAATCTCAAAAAAATAGAAGGAGATTACTGAAGGCATTTAGGTCAACAAATGCCAAAAAATAAATTTTTAGTGGTGTTTTATAAAAAAATGCTACTAAAAAACAGCTACTAAATCTCTATTTCATGTAGTGAGCTTTAACTTTTTTCCCTTAAAAGCTCTTAATGAATGATGCCAAACAAAGTAATGCATAGTTAGGATAGTTAAGCCTAAAATGACTTTTATCATACATTAACACTAGCTACATTACAAACTTATAAAATCGTAAATGATCTTTTGTCATGTGTTTGTCTATATTAGATAAGAGAGATGCAATAAGCAAAAATATGAAACCTGAACGCACTTTATTGATAATTCATTTTGAATTTCCATGTTCTACATAACATTGTTAGATTTCATGTAAGGATTTAAGAGATGTATTGCTTGTATTTTGAACCATAATTAGGAAAAAACTCAGCCTAGGCTGATTTTTGTAGATTACCTATTATTCATGATTTTACTTTAGTTATATCCATTAGCCAATCCATCAGGCATTCGTGTTGAATGAAACAATGGAAGTAGTGATGATTCTAGCTCAATCTTGTTTTGCTTGAAGACAAATAAAAGCTTAAGTTTAGGGTTTGATTGCACTAAAATTTTAGTAATTTATCATACCTTTTTAGATCATTTTATAGTGGATATTTGCTTTTTCCTTGAGAAATTTGGCAAAAATACTCCTAGTTACTTAAATATTTAATATGTAGGTAAAAATATAAGAAAAAGGAGAAAATGAAGCTTATAGACTTCTTTTGGATGCTTTTTGATGCAAAAAAGCTATAAAATGACTGAAACCAGTGTGAACTTGTTTCAATGCCATACTTAGGGGATTTTTTTACATTTTCCTTCATGATTTCTTTTACTTATTTGAGCTTAATTGAACTTTAGTTCAAGCTTTAATCCTTATATTTTCCTTGTTTAAATATTTTTTTTAGCTCATTAAGTATTTAACAACTTTTTAGTAGAGTTGCATGAGCTAAATAGGTGTCCCTTGCATTTGTGAGGTTTTGAAGCTACATTTAGGTAAATGGGTAGCTATTTAGTTGGCAATTTGGAGGCTTTCTAATTGGATATAATTTTAACTTTTTGAAGCTTGCAAAATTAAAAGAAGGAAGCTTAAACTAAAATGAAGTAAAAAGAAGCAAGCAATGAAGCTTAAAGAGCTAAATGGATGACTTGGAAGACTCTAGAACAAAAGGCATCTTAGTTGGTATTTTCTTGCAAACTTATTCGCTAGAACATCTTATCCTTGGCCTATAAATAGGAGCGATGGTTGATCATTTGGGGAGATTTTTTCTAGTTTTTCATTTTTTTTGCATTTTCTCTTAAAACATTTTCCTCTTTTTTTCTAAAAGGCTATTTAAGGGAAAATCATTTAATTTTCTAGCAAAATTTACTTTTTTTGCCTTTATTTTACATGCATTTTAAGATTCTTTCAATAAAATCTCAAGTTCTTTAAGATTTCTTGTTTAATTTGCTTTAATTTTCATTGAATCTCAAATCTATTTGGCTAATTTTGCATTTGAACTAGTTACAGTTTTTGCGCTTTATCTAATTCAAATTTTATTTGTTTCTATCCGAAATTTTTTTTATAAATTCTTGATTCATATTTCTATAAATATGGAAAAGTTCACATTCAAATTTGTTCTACAAAATTCTAGAAAAATCCAAAAATCTTCAATTAGATCTAGCAGCAAAGTTGAAACTTGAGTGAGTGATAGCACTATAAGATTCTTCTTTCCTAGCTAGGCGATCGGTTCACTCTCTTCTCACTTTGCACTTCTTAATTCATATGTTTATTTATCTAGATTTAATTGATAGCTTTTAATTTCTTGCTTTTCAATTTTGTTTGGTTGAATTTTACTTAACTACTCTATTTTTGTTCTTCATTGCATGCAGTTTTAGATCATGTTCATTGAGTTTGATTTTTTATTGTTTCTTGAGATTTCTTTATTGATTTAGATAGTAATCTTGTAGACCTAGTTTGCTTTAGCCTAGTTCTAGTTCATTTGATCTATAGAAGTCTAGATCTAAATTTTTCTCTTAAAATTTGATTTTTCCATATTTGAAAGTTCTATTTCGGTTTGAATTCTTTTTGTTGATTTTGTGATTTTGATCCTTTAATTGTACCTCAATTGTGTTTTGATCTTTGTTAACTTATTATTCTTGCAATTTAAAAGTTGTTTGTATCAAGTCTTAGGAAGTTTCTAGATCTAATTTCATTTGGAAGTTAAGAGGTAGTTAATTCGATTACTAGTTAGTTGTTTTCAATTATCACTTGTAAGCTACTTTTTAGTTGTTAATTGAGCTTAGTATTTTTGGTTTCTTAGTTTACATTTAAGTTCAAAGTATGTTGGATTCAATTTAAAGTACTTTAGCTATTGTTTTGATAAAGTTTTCAAGAATGTTTGTTTTACATTTAATAAACTTGCTTTTAGTTACTTGCATTTCTAGTTTTTGGTTTTTCATTCTTGTTGCTACTAGCTTAATCTTGTATACTTTTTTTGATGAATTAACTTTAGATTAGGTGTGACGATAATAGGTACTTAGGTAAGCTTTTTTAGTTAATCCCTGTATAACGATGTTTTAAGCTTTGATCACTATTATTACTTGTATGATACGTGTACTTGCAAAAATCACTCATCACATATCGTCAACAAGATTTAGTGTTGGTAGATTCAAAGCTTTCATTCTTCCAAATCCCTTACGCCTAGCAACTATTTTTTAGTGTTCAAAGGGAATAAATCTCAAAATAATGGATGAGAGTAATGTCAAAGAATGCTTTAGCTAAAAATCCCTAGCAAGTCTTGTACTCTTGATCAAATAATTAGTTTTAATCATCTAAATCTTAGTGATTCCATTTGTATTTCAAGTAAATTTTCAATTGTTCTTTTAGAAATCCTATTCTCTATCATTTAACTTTTTAACATATATAAAACAAATAATAACAAAAAGACTAGAATTTAAAAATGTAATCTTTTAAATTAACAAAAACAATTTTACCCTCTTTCTACAAAAGTTGAATAATGGATTTAAATAACTAGCACACTGTTTAAATGTTGCGACCATAGATTTCCTTTTCGCCGTCCTCTTCTCAACCTCACCCATCTCGTCCAGCTCATGATTCGACTTGTTATTGGAAATGGGGAAAGTGCTTTAAAAAACTAAATATATTGCTTTATAATCCTACACAAACTAAAAAGAGCAATTGAATATACTTACTTGGCTTCATAATTGATAAAGTCACTATTATGATGCAATCCAAAGATATGGAGAAAGATAATTGATGAGAAAGAAAGAAACAGAGAAAGGAACAATGCAAAAAGGATGACGGAAGAAAGAAAGAGAAAATAAAAGCGACAAGATTATTTGGGATTTGGAAATACGTACCTTGTAATACCAATCCATCCATGAGATAAATTTTATAAATATATAAATCATAATGTTTTTTTTTTTTCATTTTGGGTGTAACGTGGTTGTTTCGTAATTTTTTTTATTTTTTTATTTTAAAAAATATTCGAAAAAAATATAAATAAGTGATTGTTTTTTAATTTAATCGAAGAAAGAGGAGTAGATAAAAGATTTATAATATAAAAAGAGTAATGTTTGAACGATTAACAAATTTATTGAATCACTTAACAACATGTATTTATTAGTTTTAAAAATGTGATTGATTATTTATCAAAAGTTATATTTTTTTAATTTAAAAATATGATTGATAATGAATAAAAATAATTAAATTTAAAAAATATTTTAATTATGTTATTGATATAAAAAATGATTAAAAAAATTAACAAAAATCACGATTTTAATTTCAAAACGTAGTTTCTCAAAAAAAAAAACACATTTTTTATAAAAATAATATATTTATTTCATAAAAATAAGGTACTTTATCTATGAAAACCCTCAGTCACGTGTCACTTCAACTTTCTTTTTAATTACTAAAGACTTTTGATCGTTGATGGCCTTTCATGAAAGAAAATTATTTTAAAAAAGAAATATTAAACGTATAGGCAAATGTCTTTTCATTTAGTTTCTTTGTCTTTCTCTATTCTAATCTGCTACACTCCATTTCTCTTTTACAAAGTTTGAACAAAAATGAATAAATCGAAAATCGTGGAAAGGTATATATATTTTCTGGTTTTAGGTTCTTGGTTTTCCGTCTCTGAATCTACTCGGTAAGGCTTAGTTAGAAAAGGTAAGGTTTTTTTTGTTGGGTTCTGAGAAGCTTGCGGCACTAAGGGAGAGGCTAAATCGAGAAGCACAAACCGAAGGCAGAAGCAATTCCCAGCAATGTAATAGCTAAATACCAGAGACAGAAGCACAAAAAGCAACCATTCGCCGTTGATAAAAAAACAACAAGAAGGTGGGTCTGATGGTCCTAGTTAGTGGGAAATCGGAGGTTGTGGTCTTGAAACTAAAGTCTTGGGTTGATAGATTTTTGGGAGTTTAAATGCTCGAACAAAAAAGGGATTGAATCGAGGGCGGTGGGTTTTGTGCTTAAACAACAAAAATCAGGAAGGTACCGCTCTTTTTCTCTTCTTTTTTTCTGTTATTTTTTTCTTTAATTCCTTTCATTCTTATCTTCTCCAAAACATCACCCCTGCAGAGAAACAGCCTGTAGACCACGTCAGAGTTTCATCCAGAGGTTGTGTTGTAGAATCGATTACCACGGGTGGCGTTGGAGGATAAAGAGGAGAGCAGGTGATTGAGACCGACTTGGTAAGTACCGTTTGTGGGAAAAGTGGTCATGTTCGAATACCTATGCTGGAGTTAAGTTCGTTGCGCTTCAATGGTAAAGCTACGTGAACTCTTTTTTGATTTGAAATGAGTAGAGGGGTGGGGGAGAGGGTTAGGTAAGATTTGAGGAATGAATCAAATCTTTTTTTTTTTATTTGAAGGATTTTTTTTCGGATTTTCTAAACAGAGGAATGAATCAAAGGTGATTTTGAATGGGTTCAGCGGCAAGAGACCGTAGAGGCAAAGTTTTAAGTTTATGTTTTGGGGGGTTTTTTATCTCGATTTTTAATGATTTCTTAGGAGATTTGAGCTATTGGAGAGATAGAATAGGAAAAGGCAGAGTTATTGCCGGTGAACGGTGGCTAAGATAAAGGTGGTGGTGGTATTTTTTAGGTTTTGGGTATTGGAATTTTAACCTTTTTTAAACAAGTCATTTTAAATAAGTCAAACAAAAAAAAAAAAAGAAAAATAGGGAAAGAGAGAAAGCCAGGCAATCAAATGTTCTCCTGTTGTTAGGGTCACTACGAGGTGGTGTAATGATTAGGTGATAGTAGTGCGTATGATAGTGGTGCTCAAACTAATAAATCATTATGGAGAAAATAATAATTTGAATAGCGATTAATAGCTTTTTAAACTCAAGTTAAGGTAAATGTACACATCTTATTTAGCTAATTATTTTCTTAGAGAGCCAACTTAGGCAAACAACTCTTAAACCTCTTTATATGTTTAATTCATGTTGTCTTTAAATGCAATTGGTTTTTTTAGATTACATAGCATTTCTTTTGTCAAGCTCCATATATGCCATTGGTTATTTAATAGAATCATGTAATACTGTTTCTTTCTATATAATTTTAACTGGTGATATGATTTGATTATGTTCTTGGTTTATCACCAAAACATTAAAATGATATTGAAATAAGTAACAATGTTTAGCCATGTTACTAAATTTAATGCTATAGTTTTGTCCGTTAGTTGTTAGTTAGTCAGGTAAAGAAAATGCATGTCTCATGTTTCCCAAGCTTTGTTGATGATGATTATAGTATAATATAATAATTCTTTATTGAACCTGGGATCATTAAATTATAAGAATCAAAGTAGAAATAAATGCAAAATCTGATTTGTAAACATGAATCTACTGTTGGCAAAAAAAAAAAAAAAGAACCTATTTTGGTTATATAATGTGTTTGGTTATAACCAAACTCCAATAAGTCATGGAGTTTGGTTATATTGTTTATTTAACGATGAGTTTGGTAATACAATGCGTTTTTCATTCAATTATAAAGTAACATGAACTGGGAGTAGCTTTAATTTGAATATAAACAATGATTTGATAACTCTGTTGATTTAATTTACAATGGTTGAGAGGTATGATTGACTCCATTTCATTTTATTTTTACTTACGCAGTTTATCAATGACAAAATCCATCCATAAGATAAATCTTGCTCATTTTGACTGAGCATTGACCTCTCCTAAAGCCATCCATGTGGCGCCTTGTCATTTCTCTTTTTTTCTTTTTTTTTTTCCTTCTATTTCTTTCCCTCTTCCCATGCCCACGTGACAGCACAAAGTCCTAAAGCCAAAGTGTACATTCACACCCAACTTAACTCGGCTTCACTTAACAGGCACTCTCCTGTGTTTACAACTTTGGCAATGGGGTCAAATTTGGAGATGGCTATGTTGAGGTATCATTTCAGCATTCATTTATGCACAAATGCCAATAGATTTCTGGTTTAGCAGCAACTGATTCTGATATTTGAAGACTGTTTCTTTGTAATAGATATTGGCAGCCACACAAACCCCAGGAAATGCTGGTAAGAGGTGGTTCCAAGGGACTGCAGATGCAGTGCGACAATTTCACTGGCTTTTTGAGTTAAATATTCAGAGTCAGCTCCTATAATGGGAAAAAAAAGTCATTAAAATAACTCATTTATGGGAGATTGGTATTTGAAAGTTTTATTGTTATCCATTAGACACAAGGCATTTATTTTGATTTAAGAAGAACAAGAGAAAGTGAACCAAACTATTGCAAAATGTCAAGTATCAGAAAGAGTACCATTATTATTTTATGGTATTTGAGTTTGCCAAGTTTTGTTCCTTTGTCACTAGAACTAAAATTACAGCGGTAGTCCTTTCTTTTATGTCAGTGACTCTTGGTTTACGATTTACTATCTTGTAGGGTGCAAGAAGTAAGGAAATTGAGGATGTGCTGATTCTGTCAGGGGATCACTTCTATCGAATGGACTATATGGATTTTGTTCAGGTAATAAGGCACAAGATATGTAGATAGTTTTACTTGTGTTATATTATATACATTGATGACATCAATTTTCAAAATATAGAAACTGAGATTCATGATTTTTGTTTACAGAACCATCGGCAAAGTGGTGCGGACATCACCATTTCTTACCTTCCTACAGATGATAGGTACATCACCATTTTATGGATTTTCTTTGATATTTCAATTTCTTGCAACAGATATTATAGCTTTCATCTAATGGTACTCAGTAATAAGCATTACCTTCTCTGTTGCTTTTATTGTAGACATGCCTCAGATTTTGGTCTAATGAAGATAGATAATAAAGGAAGGATTTTGTCCTTCAGTGAAAAGCCCAAGGGACAAAAATTTAAAGCAATGGTAAGTCCCAGTTTGTTATGATGAACTTTGCCTTGTAATTGGTTTTAGAGATTTGAGTGGTTTTGCTAATATAAATGTGTATATTTTAGGCAGTAGATACCACAGTTCTGGGACTTTCAAGAGAGGAGGCTAAAAAGAAACCATATATTACTTCCATGGGAGCTTATGTCTTCAAGAAGGAGATAATTCTAAACCTTTTGAGCTACAAATTTTTTTTTATCAATTAATTTCCTCTGAAGGAAGCAAAGAAAGAATAAAAATCTTGATCAAGTGATAAATTTAACAATCATGTAAACATACACCTGCGATGTCAAACATAGAAGCATAAGTTTTATAAAATGTTGTTGACTCATATGGCGTTTTCAATTGCAAATGACTTTGGGTACAAAATGCTTTCTAATTCGGTATTGAAAGGAAAATGGTATTGTGCTTCATGCTTTCTCCTTTTATTTATGGCAATTTACAAAGCTTTTATATATTGATTTTATAATATTTATATCAGTGTTATATACTTAACAAATTTGATTAATTTATCTTTGAATACTGATCACTTAGGTATGTAAAATTAGTTGTTTAGAGCTATGTTTCAAAGAATTCTATAGAATTTTAAAATTTCATGAGATTTTTGAGACACTGATTAATGAAAGATTTAAATTCCAAAGTCAAACCATTTAGAATGCAAAATCTTAGTAAAGAACTTTTTTCCTTTTAGGTTTAGTCCAACTCATAGTTATTTGTTGCTTACTTGCTTTGCAAGTTACAAATTTTAAAAAAGGTTTCAAAACAACTTGTTTTTGTGACTTTTGAATAGCATTAGTTAAAGAATGGGTTTTTAGATACAATATTTACTGTTTTAAATCAGAATTCAAAGACTATATGCATTAATGACATTGATAAGGACTTGGAAGCTCAAGGTTTGATAGCAATCTCAAATAATTTTCTCATTTTACATTTTTATCTTTGTTTAATTGAGTGGATATACATTAATTTATTGAATATATCAAATTGAAGGATGATCAAAGTATTGTTAAGAAAATGTTAACTTTATAGATCAAAATACTATAAAAATTCTTTCTTTACCCTTTTTACTTTCTCGTCTTCAATTTTTTTTCTATTGATCTATAAAAACTCTCTACTTTTGCTAAAATTTGATTTTCTTTCAAGTTCTGTTTCTGAGTTTTTCTCATTCTTTTATAAAGTTCATTGAAGTATATTAATCATATACCAATTGTTAATGGGTTTTCTCTTTTTGTGATTTCAAAATTTATGGATTTTATTCTTGCATCTTAAAGAATCTTGCCATATGTTTTTTGTATCATGTATTTTTAGAAACCTTTGCTACTTTGTCTGGTTTATAAGATTAACACAGTGCATTATTTGGTTTGCCTGTGAAGTTCAATAAGGTATCTTTGATGCGTATATATTTGTTAGAGTTAATTTTGTAGTTTCTTGGGAAGTTTTTTTTTTTTTTTTCCCTCTTGTAGTTTTGCTTGGTTGTTGAGAAAAAGTTTGAGCTTTGGAGGATTTCATGACAAACCCAATAAAAGGATCTTAATGTTATATAGAAGAAAATTTTTGGGGTTTGAGTTTGGATTGCAAAAAGACAATTTTGATGTTGTGGGAGGCCAAAGTTTATGGTTTTGAGCTATAATTAGTTGTGTAAAAACTGGGTTTCAAAAGTGAGTTATGAGCGCTTTTAGACATGCAGAAGAAAATAACCTGAAAATTTGATGAATTCTGTTTCCATATGAGCAGTGCTTCTAGTTAATGTGGGAAATGCTTTGTCCTTTCAAGGTTTTTGAATAAAACCATAGTCTATGGCTTGCAAAGCTTCTACATTCTTTAACAGATGACAATCCAGATTTGTAGAAGCAAATAGGATGCATGATTGGGGTTTTTCAAATCTTTGATCGCCATCATATGCTCACCACTAAGCGCCTCCTAGGGATGTGTTTAATCTAAAATTTTGTCTAAAACTAATTCTTTTTGCTGAAGTCCACTAATCACAGATTGATGCAATAGTTTTTGGATATTGGAATTGCGTATTTGCTTGCTTATACTGATGTTTTATAACTTCAAAAATTATTAGGTTTTGGTTTTTTGAATTTAGGGTTCATGATTATAGTATGTAAGTTGATTGATACATTGTTTGAAAAAAATTATATTGATATCATATACTTGACATTGAATTCTTGTGGCAACGCACGGGAATTCTACTAGTATTTATAAATTGATCTAATAAAAAACAATTAATTTAAAGAAAATGACTAAATGAGAAAGTAAGAAATTGATGAAAAGAAAATTTGTTTTTATTTTTTTCTATAATATTAATGCCTTTAAAATAAAAAGGAGTTAGGTGTAAAAGTTGCTCCCTTCTTTCTTGTTAGCTTATCTCTGTTTCTTTTTTTTTTTTTTTAATGCTTTTTAAGTTAAGTAATAGAATGAGTTGTAGATTTTAAGAAATCTTTCATTACGTCACATAGCTTCTTTGTTACTTATCGAGATCTTTTATCTTAAATTCTTGTTTGTTTTCAGGTATAATATTTTTTTCTTTTTATTTTGTTTGAAGTTCTAGGGCTTGGTTAAATTTCGACACAAGATCCACCCAGTGTAATCGTATTTATTTAAAACTATTATTCAATTTAAAATCTTAAATAATGTTCCTTTTCTCTCACCTCTCCTCTTTTTCACTCCCCACACTTAATTTATTTAAATTATATTTAGGTATTTTTCAATAATTCGACAAATTCTTGTAAGTTTGGAAATAAAGTAAGGATTTTGATTTTTTATCTCAATTTGAAGAAAACAGGAAAATTATATGCTAAATCAAGGAATCATTTTTAGGATTATTCTTTTTTTTTTTTTAATTTTCACTATTGTTTTCTAAGAAGCAAGCCTTTATGTCTTGTTGTACATGCTTCATTTCCAGCTATAACAATCTTTCCCATCATATTTGGATCGAAAAACATGGGAAATTGCATTGTCTAGCCATTTTTTTTTCCCTTTTAGATATTATGATAAAGTTAATTGAATTGGGTTCCATTTATAGTACATGGGAATTGAATTAGAAGCTTTTAGTTGAATTATTAAATTTTAAGGTTTGCAATACTAGTGATTTATTGATGATTGCTTCTCTAAACTAGCTTGGTAATTTGATAATAATTTTGTAATTGTCTTTTACCAAATAGGAATAAAGAATAGCTCAATCACTTCAGTACCAGCGTCCTAAGATGGTAAATGGTGGCTATGTTATTACGTGATAATAGGGTAATTTGATTAGGTGCCTAGTATCAATGTAAGCTTTTTATTTTATTCCTTTTCCAGCTTCTTTCATTGCGATTCTTTAGGGCTAGATGAATTATAACATAATCTGATTATGTAATGTTAAGTTTTTCCATTTCACTTGTATAGGTATTCTTTACTACAATAAATGAATGGCTAAGGTTGGTACATTTTTAATTGATTGTTAGATTTACATTCGATCCTGATTTATTATTTGTTATTTGTGACTAAATTTTTTGTTAGAAAAACAATTAAAGAAATAAAAATAATAATAAAAAATTTTAGTTTTGAGGGGTGAAGAACATTTTTTTAAAAACAATTATATTTTTAGGATATAACAAAACTTCAAATTCTTTAATAAGAAGTAATAATAATGATTATACTGAAAGATCTATTTATAACGAATAAATAGACATAAATTTTTATTTAAATGATAATAATCATTTATATAATCATGACTTGTATGGATAATCATTTATTTATATTCAAATAGTTATAACTATTTATTACATAATAATTATTTTTATTTATACATAATTATTCAAAATATAAATAAAATTAATATAAAAATTAAGTCATTCATCAATAATTAAAATTTTTTATCTAATGTGAGATGCACCATATTATAAACTACTAACAATACCTCATTAGTTTGGATTGTTGGTGCTTAATCTTTAATTTTTTACAAAAATAAATATTATAAATACAAAAGGATATTTCTCAATTGAAACTTTGAATTAGCGTATATACATTAAATTTTAACAAAGTTTATGGTGTCTGTAGATTAAATCTCAACTTTTAGTGTTAGAATTAAAGATATAACACACATAATACTTATTCTTTTGTCAAAAGATTATAATTGTTTTATCATTATCATGGCCATGTGTTTATCTTATTTATAATATTTACAAGAGAAACCTTATTTCTTCTTGTTTAAGCAATATCACTTCTATACTTATATAGGTAAAATTTACATGATATCTACATTGCTTTAGACATTTAAATAATAAACTCAATTAAAAGTATAAAAAAACTTGTCATTCTCACGTAATAGACCATACTAATTTTTAAAATTTGAATGGGTTTTACTAGTATTTAACAAACATATAATAATAATTTGTAAAAACCCATTAGACTTTGTAATTAGAGGTTACTAATTCAAAGTTAGGTTCCTATTATTAATGTCTAATAGTAATGGTTTAAACTTATTTTACTTGTATTAGTAACCAAGTATCTTGGAATTTAATTTTGATTTATTTTAATTACTCCAACTTGATGTTGAATCTCTAACATAATCACTTCATAAGTTAATATGTCTAAACTTTTCATTTTGCATGTCATTTAAATGCTATAGACATAGTCTCATTCTTGTTATTTTAAGAAATAGTTGGTATTGGTTGTGGTCCTATGATTCAAATAACGGTGTAGTTGTGGTATAATGGTTGTTATTTTACGGTAATGCTACCACCTACAATAGCTATTTGAAAAATATTGAGTGAGAATTTGAATCTCATTCATAACAGAGTGTCACGACTACAAAAAAATAATGTAGTAGTGAATAGTGGTCTTAATGGACCATTATTGTTGTTCCATTTTTTTGTCAAAAAACTAGAATAAAAAAAAGTTGGCAACTCCCAAAAAAAACCTTAATTTGACATCAATCTCAAGCCAACCTAAAACAAACTCAAATTTAATCCCAAATCAATCATCAATTCAACATAATCAATAGTTCAACCTAAGTAATTACTTGTGTAAAAAAAATTGCAAATTTTTGTTGAATTTTAATAGGATTGAGCCAATTGGTGAAGTTAGCCTTTTCATCTTACATCTTTTGTTAAGTGAAGGCTCTAACTCAGATGGTGAGAGATTAGAGCTCGGCCACTAGGGTGGGCCATTGGGTGGTGGTGATGAGTTTTCCTAATTGAGAATTAGGATTTGGGATAAGGAAAACTAGAGCCTAAGTAGAAGCCAGGCACATGTCGCTATGGCTAAATCACTTAATTGGTAGGGCCGTATCTTATGGGAAAGGGAAGCTTCTATTTTGGACTTTTGGGTTGAGTTTGAGAGTTGAAAGAGTGGACATTGAGAATTGATGAGAAGTAAAAGGTTGAGATGAATGAGAGTGTGAGAATGAGACTGAAGAAAATAAGAAAGAAGAAATGTCAAGAGAAAAGAGCGATTATAAGGGAATAAGGCCAAAATTTTAGTTCTGAGCTATAGAAAGGGATTAGGATGGTTTTGTTTGTGTGAAATTTTTTATTGAGGGAAAATTTTGTTTATAGGAAATTTTAAAGTTTAAATTTTATGGTAGGAAAGTTTAAAATTAAATAAATTTAGGAATTAATATGAAATAGATAGAGAAATTTTGGAGAAATTAGATAAAAATTAAGGTGATAATTTTTTTATAACTTAAATGAAAATTAATTAAAGTTAAATGATTATATATTGATTTATTATTTATTATTTTATATTTTATATTAGAATTTTATTAATGATATTTTGTTTTGGTGTTTGTATTGTTAATTTTTTTAGTATTAGATTAATTTTTATTATTATTATTTTTGTGTGCTTAAATAAAAATTAAAAATTCGATCCCTTGTATAATAATTTGAAAGTAATTTATGATATCAATTTTAAATTAATTAATGTGTAAAAAATTAAAATACTTAATAAATTACTACATTTCAAAATCATAAAAATAATAAATATTTAATAGTTTATTACATTTAAAAATCAAGTAAATAAAAGATATGTGATCATAAACTATTTTGAAAATTATCAAATAAGAGTTTTTATAATTATAATTATAATTACTATATTTTATAGCATATTGTGTGAAATTAAGAAAAATTCACAACTGAGGTATCCGTTATGTCCGTAATCGCGATAAATACTATGTGATCGAAAACGCGACTGCAACTGTAATTTAAATCCTTATTGTGGCCACAACTCTATACTCATAAATTTTAACCATTTATTTTCATGTTTTTATACATTTTTAATATAATTATACTTCTAGTATAATTGGATAAATTCAATGAATAAATCAAGTCATTTTCGTCCTTTTAAGATATTTAAGGACCATTTATGATTTTATTTTAATAAGTTGTACTAAATTTATTAGCTTGTGTGATTTGCTCATAAAATTATACTAAAATCTTACAACACTATGGTGATCATTTTTATTTCTTTTGATTCTCATCACCTCCATCATGTGCAAATTTGCATTATTTTATTAAAATATATCTCATTGAATTATCAAAATATCATATATATTTAATCAAGTTGCCATTTCATTTATTTTTTCATTATTTGGTAGTTGTTTTTGTTTAAGTAGGAGGCCTTAAAATCCACCATTAGTGAAAGATAACTAGTAAATATTCAATATTTTAATATTTCCTTTTTATAAAAGTTCCAAAACTTTTATTTCAACTTGATATGAGAGTATGCATCAATAAGTATATATGATGCGAATATAATCACCCTCAAAATTAGTAAACTCATGCTTTCTATAGTCTCATTTTGAGACTGTCATTTCAACTCTTGAATACTTAAAAATTATTTGATCATGGACACTAAAGCCATATCCATTACAATTCATGTCATTAAAAACAATCATAGTTTCATGTATAATCACACAATACTATAAATTTTATGTCCAAATTAAAAATTATATGAAATTTTCACCCAATAAATAAAATGCATTTTAACTAGTTACAAAGAATTATATAACTTTTCCAACTGAATTGAAGTTATCTTAGATAATATGTTTATTTCTTAGTGAAATAATATTATATAAATAAAATAATATGAATCATATATTATTCTCTTGTCAATAAAGTGCTATCATGGAATATGGACCATAGAATATGATTTTATGATAAGAACATATATACTTGCTTCTTCTTCGAAAAGATTTATAAATTCACAATTTCGTTTATGCCTTAAAATAATTTTCAAAAATTTTATTATTTTGATTTGATAATCATGGTCTTACCAAAATATAATAAGGCTATAAAAAATTCAAAACCAAAGCTAACAAGTACTTCATGTCCATTTTATGCTCATGATCATTCAATGCCATGATCAAGAAAATCCACATATAGCATACTGTAAAATCATGAATCATAAATTAAATAATTTAATTCATAAATAAAGATTAAAAAAAAGTCAATAAAGAAAGCAAAATTTAATAAAAGTCAAGGTCTTTTATGAA